GAAGAAGCATTCTCAAGGGAGAAAGTTACCCTCACAGCCAAAGAGCTCCTGTTGTTGCTTGCGGTCAGACAGGAAGGGAAGCCGACGAAGGAGCAAAGTCGAACAGCGAAGAGGGAGCCTGAGCGAGCTCCGTTGTTGGTTCCGATCAAAATGTTGGAACTTCCGCTCCAACAGGAAGGAAATGGCGTCGAACGAGAGAAGTCGAACGTCCAGGGAGGAGGCCGAAGAAGCAACGAATGGGAGAAAGTTACCCTCACAGCGTGTGGAGCTCCCGTGCTCGGTTCCGATCAAAATGCGTAACTTTTGATTCGACTGGAAGGGATATCGCCGGAGGAGCAAGTTCGATCAGCCACGGAGAAACAGAAGGAGCGCTCGACCTGGAGAAAGGACCTTCGAAGCTCTCGTTGTCGCCTTCGATCAAAGTCGTAGCTTCCGATCTCACAGAGAGGGAAAGTCGAAGGAGCGAAACCGAGCGACCACGAGGAGCTGGAGCGAGCTCCGTTACTGGTTCCGATCAAACTGTCGTAACTTTCGATCTCACAGGAAGAAGAGAGCGAGAGCGGGAGAATGAGCAGTCGGGAGTGAGAGCTTGCGGGGGAATGAGAGAAGGAAGGAGCGAGAGAGGTTTCTGCCTCTTTTCTTTTCAATTTAACGACACAAAGTCGTGTGGGAGAAGGGACGTCGACGTGCTGAATTCGGCGCTCGACGTGCGACTGCGTGGGATGGCAGGTACGTTGATTTTAATTTAATTTTTTTTGTTTTTTTTTCTCTCTTTTGTTTTATACGGCGGGTTAACAATGCTTTAGCCATGGAGGTTACGCAAGACAAGCAGAACAACCATTGACCATCGAGAGTGGGAATTGTAGAAGTCCACGGTTCTGCTGCAGAAGATTGAAATAGCTGGAAAGACAAGTTAGCATAATACAAGTAGAGAATACGACAGATGAATCCGTGAATATCGTAATTCCTTCATTGCCTTTTTACTGTGACTCTGCAGTGTATATAGAGATAGGCAAGAGTAGAATACACGTGTATGCATGATAGCAAGAGTGTTTGTTACAGATGAGAGACTGTGGGCTCCAAAAATTCGGCCCCGGCCTCCCCGACGTGATGTTATTTTTGCTTTTCTTTGACGAGGGAGTTTTAACGAAATAAGTTACAGGGTAAATTCTGGAAGGCATATGGGTTTGTAGATAAGACACCCAGAGATTTCGCCCTCATTTTGTGAGGACTTTATAATCTAAGTTCTAGTTTCCTATAGGCACAAGCCCCTGTAGTTAATTACCCCCCCCCCCCCCCCCCCAAAGGAAAACTTTCCATACGAGAGAAAACTTTCGATTAAGGCTAGTCGTCGATCAGATACGTAGAAATACGTGTTATTTGGAATATAGTAGCAGTAGGAGTATGGAATGGTTGGAGAATTTGGGAATTTGAAGGATTGAAAGATTTGGAGATTTGATATTTAAAATTAAAAATTGCACCATCTTGCACTTAAAGCGGATGGTGGGGGAATGGATGATAGACCCGATCAAAATCTCATGGTTTCGTCGTCCCGGGCCATCGTGATCCCTGGTCTACTTAGTCAGAGGAGGTAGTCGACCCAACCTGACAGAAGGATCATTGTCAGCAGCCATAGGTTGCTTCGTCCAAGAGGACCTTGTAGACCTGGGGTGAATGTTTGTCTAAGGGGACAAATTTGAATCTACCTTAGCTAACAGAGGGCTTTGTGCCCTATCGATCATATCTTATTGATTCATATCTCAAGGATTTTATGCAAATAAGGAGCATATCAGCTCTGGCCATAACTGGTATTTCGTGGTGCCATTTGGCGGCAAAACTACTCGGTTCAGAGGGCCCTAGGTCATAACCGTTTATCCTGCGGTGTCATTTGAAGGCAAAACCGCCGGTTAGAGGACACGTCCCACGTCCTTATTGGCAGGAGATTGTTTGAAAATGGATCCTGATGATATTTTCGACTAGGCATTTAGCTCTTTATGAGCTGAAGTTATATTTCAGATGTGTCCACCTCGGCAAACTGTTGCAGAGTGTGGATGTGTTTTTGCTTTAAGCATTAGATGGTTTATTTCAATTTTAAATATCTTTGGATTTTGAAATGAGATTGGATTTTTGGATTTTTTGGAGCTTTGAATTTCGTAGGCATTTAAGTGGAATTTAAAATATTTGGAATTAACCCCCTCCAGTTGAGATAAGTATTCAACACGGCCATCATTGGGGTTTTTTTGGGTTATTTTCATTTAAAACTTGAACCTTATCGACCCTATCAACTTGCCGATAGGGGATCAGGTTTCGTAGGCTTTATGCATTTGTTAGTGAATTCATATTGTTATAGACCTTGAATGCCTAATATAAATATATTAAAACAAATATATCGGTCGCCATCATCGTATACTTGTTTGATTGTTCGAACCCTGTCGACTTCTATTGACCCCTATAGAAGGATCGGGTTCGAACTTGAATTCACTTATTGACGCGCGCAGCATCCCTAGACGTCACGTGTGTTCCCACAACACGCTCGTCGGGTCCCATGCGGTGTTTGGGGGGCATTTTGTAATTAAACCTTGTCTACTCCTTTTTATCTGTTTAGGAGGATCGGGTTCAAATTTAGTAACCCGCGCAGCATCCCTAGACGTCACGTGTGTACCAATAACACGCTCGACGGGGCCCATGCAGGTTTCATGATTGCTTTTACCCCTTTTAGTTTACCTATGTGTATACAAACTACTGTGTACGTGCGGGGGTATTTTTGAATATTTATGAAACGCCTTCTATCCGCTCGCATAGAAGTTGCGAATCCGGTAGCACAACATTGTAGTCTTGTGGACGCCTTTTGTCTGCTCGTATGAGTGTTGCAGATCCAGTGGCGTACTGTAGCATATTCTGAATAGAGTTGTTCGCTGCTTTGTACATGTAGACTGTCGTGCACTACTTGCATGATTTATACAGGTAGATTGTAGAGCACTAACAAATCTCCTGCTTTGGGTCGTAGGAGCTTGTACTTGTCATATTCTCCATGCATTTTGTTGTGGTCTTTAGTCTTTTCAGTGCATCCGCTATTGTTGCATGTAGGTAGTTAGATGACTTCTTTCACAGACTGAAATTGACTTCAGGATACTGCATTTACTGAAATCTTTTTGCATCTACCCAGAGATAGCACGTTGTACATACATCTATATCCGTAGAGATATTGTATGCGTTGCAGATCTTTTACATTTGCTCACAAATATCTAGTTGCATGTATAATGGGCCTCCTTCAGCAATTCGTAAGTATTCATATTTGATGTAGTTGCTTTGTACTCTGTTTGTGGACAATACATTAGGTGCCAGCGGTCTTCCATAGCAGCTTGTAGGATTTGGTATTTGTTGGTGATTATCATCGTTGCACATGCGTATGTTTGCTGCAATTGTTATATTTTCTTGTGCGTCTTTCAATTCTTCTAGCAACTGTTGCATTTCCATCAAAGTGATGACTCCTTGCTACTTTATTGAAATCTTGCATTATTGGTTGCAAATGTATTGTTGTATCTTCCTTCAACTTCATCAATTAATATACTCAAGGAAGTTATATTTATGCTTTGTTCATAATGAGTACTTACGAACTTGCTTACATGATTGATACAAGTGTCACCATTATCATCCTTGTATGATTTGTAGTATTTGTTCATGTATTTGTTTGTGAGCATTCAAAAACTTCAAGCTTATTGAATTTCATTGTACGTTGCTTATGTGCAAATTACATAATTCAATGAAATTATTTGGTGTCATCACTATTATTGAATCATACTTTCCAATCCCTTGGTTCACAAAATTCATATGCATTCACTTGCATTTCACTTATGCATTCATCAAGTGAGGGCTCAATTGCTTATGTTTATTTATTCATGATTGATCCTTTGCATTTTGTTCAAGCTTACACTCAATTCATTATTGATTGTTGCAAATGAGCCATGCTTATACATGCTCACTTGTACTTGAGTCATGACTCATTAATATACAAATCATGGTTTCATTCAAAGCATTATATCATGTTCTCTAAGCTTAGTTCAAACTTCATTTTCATGAACTTGATTACATATATATTTTGTTCATTTGAAGTCCATGCTCAAGCTCATTTTGTTATCATTTGTTTTAAGTCCAAATTCTTTTTTTTTTAAGTTTAAATCATTTTGAGTTAAATTCATGATCATTTTAATCATTTGAATTTTATGTCATTTTCCATTTTGTCCAAGTTCAAGTCCAAGTCCAAGTTTCAGTCCGAGTTCAAGTTTAATTTGTCCAAATTCTATCCAAGTCCTTAAATCTTCAGTCAAAATTTCGGCAACCTCCCGGCGTCTCCCCCGTTTAGGGAAAAACTACGGGAAACTGAGCCTTTCCCACCACGCTAAGAAAAGCGTGTATGGGTCATCGGTACCTGTTGCAAAAGAAAATAAGTTATTTCCCCGCAAGCGGGTACTTTTTTGTCACACCGCATGCGTCGAAACGAGTTTTCTAAAATTTCTAAAAAACTTTTTTTTTTTTTAAACTCTCTTTTTCTTTCTCTTTTTTTTTTTTTTTTAAATTTTCTTTTTTCACATTTTTTTTTTTTTTTTTAAACTCTCTTTTTCTTTCTCTTTTTTTTTTTGAAATTCTCTTTTTTCACATTTTCTCTTTTTTTTTGCATGTATATAAATATACACATATAAAAGCACATACATTCTTCTCTTTCCCTTCTTTTGTGACACTTAGACATAATGATACAAATAGTTGATGAAATCAACTCAATTAACTACTGCTCACAATAAAAATAAAAGAAACCTACTCTAGCTAGCCTTCTTTTATATATATATATCTCAAACTCATGTATTGTTATGAACATCACAGCTAGCATGCACATGTTTACTTTGAATTTAATAATAGCATAAAAGTAAGTGACATCCACTCAATTAGCTACAGACCTTGAACAATAATGAAAGTAAGAATCTCACTGCAACTTTATCTTCCCCTTTTTTTTTTTTTTTTTGATATATGGTGAGCTCACGTGAAGGAAGAGTATTGTGAGAGATTTAGGGATGGAGAGATAAACACAGTTCTGCAAATTATATGAGGGAGAATAGGGTCAGCTAAAGACGAACTTGCATGTGGATTATGGTGTGAGTTGCCTTATTTTGATGCGGGGAAGAGACGAAATGATGGACTTTGTCTGATAGCGAGTTTGGATTGTAGTGGGTTGAATGTTTTAAAGCGAGAACCCTCCTAGTTGTTGTGAGAAAACGAAGTAGAGGCCTTTACCTGTTCCGGCCAGTTGCGGCAAAGAAGCTAGGAGGGAGTACGTGGGAGGAAGCAGCAACTAGCTTGGCGGCTCTCAAAGCAGATCGCACAGGCTATAGTGATTGCAAACCAGGAGAAAGGTGAATGAGACCAGTGCTGGAGTTTGATTGTGGAGGGATTTGACGGACTGCTAATGTCGGGTAGGGGAAACGGAGCTGGGATTTGATCCAGTTAGCCTTCAATCAATAGCTCTTGAATGGTTTTGCTTTGGTCTGAAGCAGGTAACAGATCAAACTTTGGCTGAATGAACTCAGTTGTGGAGACGGCTCAGGCTATGGAAAGGGATTTCACGTGCAGCTGTTTGAGGGAGGAAGAATGGGCTACCGGAGCTTTCACGTGAAAGGCTAGATAGTGGAGAGTGGAGCTGCTTGTTTTCGGTTTGAGGTGTCGAAGCAAGTGAACAGAAGTTCTGCAGCCGGGTTGAGTAGTTCAGACGGTGGAGAGTGGAGAGAAGTAGTTGAGCTTAGCTATGAAGATACGGGAGGTGAAGGTAGGTGATGCAGCGCCATGTGCTACACGAGAGCACTTTTTCTGCTTTTCCGTTATTTTGCCCAGACGCACGAACCAGTGCTGTGCTAGCTTAGTAGCTAGTGCACTTTTACCTTTTGGCCCTTTTGGCCTTTTACAAGTATTTTGCTTTTAGAATTCTAGAATACTTATACTACAGCAGAAAGAAGGAGAGGTAACTTTTTGTATTGGGAAAAACTTTATCAGAGCTTCTGCTCCTTCGAAACATTCCCAGGTGTGAATATACCTTGGGATTTACTGTTACATTGGCTCTCATTGTTTTCAAGCTTTTGCAGGTTATTGGCTTGTAGGTCTCGCCGGCGACCTCCTTTCTGGGATTGCATCAGCGTGGTATCAGAGCCAATCTGGCAAGATGACCGACCGAGGTAAAGAACCTGCAACCGACGACGCTCGGAGTCTTGAAGCACTGTGGACGAGCCAGGCCAACATCACACGACAATTGGAAGCATTGTCGACCGATGTCCAGCGCCTCTCCATTGATATGCGCCGCGAGTTTAATCTCAATCGGGTAAGGAATACACACCTCTACCATCGTCGAGGGCCAGAACCGCCTATGGTTCGTGGGGGGCGACGAGGTGGGGGCCTTGAACGGAACGAGCACCGCCACCCCATACCCGCTTCTGATCGTTCAGATTCAGAGGCGGAGTCACAGATGTTCAGGAATGATGAGGATCCTCAGGACACCGATGACGAAGACGACGACGTCAGTCAGATAGAAGAACCACACAGGCAGAGGCGTCGTCCCGTGCAATACCGAGGTTACTATGAATTCAAAGTTAAAATTGATATTCCGTTTTTTTATGGGCATTTACACATCGAGGATTACCTCGATTGGGAGAAAGCTGTTGAAAATTTTTTTGAATACATGGATATAGATCCAACGAAGCAGGTGAAATATGTAGCCTGTCGGTTGAGAAGCGGGGCAAGTGCGTGGTGGACGCAACTCTTAATGACTCGCCAGCGAGAAGGAAGAGGACCCGTGCGCAGCTGGACTCGGATGAAACAGTTGCTTCGTGCCCAATTTCTCCCTACAGATTATGAACAAATCCTCTATATGAAATACCAACAGTGCATACAAGGCAATAGAACTATTAGTGAATACACTGAGGAGTTTCACAGACTCAGCGCCCGCAACAATCTGCAGGAATCAACCAACCAGCTCGTTGCTCGGTACATTGGCGGGTTGAGGTATAACATACAAGAGAAGCTGGAACTTAATTCCTTATGGTCTCTGTCTCAGGCAATCAATTTCGCACTTAAGGTCGAAATGCAGCAGCACCGAGCTTCCCGATACGGGAATTCACAAAGACCGCCCTTGGAAGCTCACACTGACCACGCCAGAGGAACTTCCAATTCGAGTAAAACTTCGGTTGCCCCACCGTCTCCGTCTGCCAAACCTTCTGTTCAAAGCCCCGAGAACAAGACTCTGCCCAAAGCTAAAATTGCAGCCCCCAGCAATCCCTATGCTAAGCCATCCAACTTAAAATGCTTTCGCTGTTTCCAGCCCGGGCATAAATCCAATGAATGTCCCCAGCGGCAACAGTTGCAAATCCTTGAAAATGACGAGGGGGATGCCCTGGATCCCAACAGTACCCGAGAAGAGGAAGAATTTGAAGATATTGAAGGCGATGACGGTGAACCTCTAATGTGTGTCCTCGAGAAATTGTTGATCGCTCCTCGTATTGTGCAGCCGTCTCAACGGAATGCCATCTTTAAAACCCGCTGCACCATTGGCGGGAAGGTCTGCGATCTCCTCATAAACAGTGGCTGTACCGAGAACATCATTTCGCGCTCAGTAGTCCAAGCTCTCAACCTGAAGACAACGCCCAATCCCCACCCCTACAAAATTAGCTGGGTTCGAAAAGGAATTGATATACCGGTATCGGAAATGTGTCAAGTTACATTTTCCATTGGGAGGCAGTATGTCTGCGAAGTGCTCTGCGACGTGTTAGACATGGATGTATGTCACGTCATCCTTGGGCAACCTTGGCGGTTTGATGCTGGTGTTATGTACGATGGTAGAGCTAACACGTATTCACTAGATTGGAAGGGAAGATGCCTTCGCCTATTACCTGGAGTTCGTGATCGCCCGCAGCCCGCCTCTACAAGCAATCCTGCCTTAGTGATGCAGATCGTATCTAGACCGAACTTATTATTATCCTGGAAAGAGTCTTCTACTCTATAGGCACTAGTAATCACTGACGTCTCACCTCCCCAGACAAGCATACTTCCCGCTGGCATCACAGAACTCCTGGAGGAGTTTTGCGATGTATGCCCGCAAGAACTCCCTGCGGTTCTTCCCCCACTGGGAGACATTCAGCACCAAGTTGATCTACAGCCTAATGCATCGCTGCCGAATCTTCCTCATTATAGGCTTAATCCTACAGAGCAACAGATTATGCATGGAATCATTGAAGATTTGTTAAGCAAACAACTTATCCAAACAAGTATTAGTCCTTGCGCAGTTCCGGCTTTGCTTGTCCCTAAAAAGAACAATGAGTGGCGACTCTGTGTAGACAGTCGATCCATCAACAAAATAACAATCAAGTATCGATTTCCTGTACCAAGGATAGAGGAACTCATCGAGAAACTAGACGGAGCTTCAGTTTTTTCCAAGCTCGACCTACGAAGTGGCTATCACCAGATCCGAATACGTCCCGGCGACGAATGAAAAACTGCCTTCAAGACTCCATTTGGTCTATATGAGTGGCGTGTAATGCCCTTTGGCTTATGCAATGCGCCATCAACATTCATGAGAATGATGCAGCAGGTACTCAAACCTGTGTGGGGCAAATTTTGTATTTCATACTTCAACGACATCCTCGTTTACAGCAACTCCATGGAAGACCACAGAGAGCATCTCCGTCAGCTCTTCATTATCCTCCGAGACAACCAGTTATTCCTCAATCTTCTGAAATGCAAAATTGCCACCTCCAGTGTGTTCTTTCTCGGATTCGTGGTTTCCCAGGACGGTGTCAAAATGAATCCGAATAAAGTCAAAGCAATTCTGAACTGGCCAACCCCACGCTCCTTTTTCGAAATCAGGAGTTTTCACGGCCTTGCGAATTTTTACCGAAAATTCATAAAAGGATTCAGCATTATAATGAGCCCAATTACGGATTGCTTGAAGCTAAAAACTTTCCAATGGGGCGATCTTCAACAACGCAGCTTTGAAGCGATCAAGACGGCCTTAACGTCAGCCCCTGTTTTGGCGATCCCCTGCTTCGACAAGTTGTTTACTGTCGAAACTGATGCTTCTGGCGTTGGTATTGGCGCTGTTCTCTCTCAAGAAGGTCGGCCCATAGCTTTTTTTAGCGAAAAACTATGTCCATCTAGGCAGCGCTGGTCTGCATATGAGCAAGAACTCTATTCCATCATACGAGCTCTCAAGGAGTGGGAACACTACCTCCTCCACCAGGAATTTATCCTTTGCACAGACAATCGGGCGTTACAATTCATCAATAGCCAGAAACACGTGAACCGTATGCACGCCCGATGGGTCTCTTTCCTCCAGAAGTTTACCTTCCTGCTCAAGCATCAAGCAGGGAAGAACAACATTGTTGCCGACGCCCTTAGCCGAAAGAACTTATTATTAACTCAGCTCCAAACTGAGTTCTCGGGTTTGATATGTATCCAGCAACTGTACCCCAATGATCCAGACTTCGGGAGTATCTGGACCAAGTGCCAGCAGGGTCAAACTATTTCCGGGTACTACATTCGCCATGGTTTTCTTTTTCATAATAATCTTTTATGTGTTCCTTTGTCCTCTTGGCGATAGCACATTATCCGGGAAGCCCATTGCGGAGCGTTAGCCGCACACATGGGACGGGACAAATCACTAGCTCAAGTGAGGAGCAGGTTTTTTTGGCCGAGACTCCGTCGAGATGTCTTTCGCTTTGTCGACCGCTGCTCGGTCTGTCAAAATTATAAGGGAGGAGCACAAAATTCGGGTCTGTACCTGCCCCTTCCCGTCCCCGACTCCATCTGGGAGGATCTCAGCCTGGATTTCGTTCTCGGTTTACCCCGCACCAAGAAGGGTAACGACTCCATCATGGTAGTCGTTGATCGCTTCTCGAAGATGGCTCATTTCCTGTCATGTTAAAAGACAGCCAACGCTTTGCATATAGCACACCTCTTCTTCCATCAAATTGTGCGGCTTCACGGTGTTCCGAGAAGTCTAACCTCCGACAGAGACGTCAAGTTTATTAGCCATTTCTGGCGAGAGTTGTGGAAGCGTTTAGGCACAGATTTACGCCTCAGCTCAGCCTACCACCCCCAAACTGACGGCCAAACAGAGATAGTCAATCGTACCTTGGGGAGCATGCTCCGTTGTCTAGTGCAAGATTACCCGAAACAATGGGAAGACATGCTAACTACAGCTGAATTCGCGTACAACTCTATGGTCAATAGGTCCACGGATAAGACTCCATTCAGCATTGTTTACACTAAAATCCCAAATCTTTCTTTGGATGTCGCTATCCTTCCCAAGTGTAAATCTGGAGCCGCTACCCAATTCACAAATCAATATTCCAAGATGCTAAATGATGTTCACAGTCAATTGACTCAAGCCA